AGTTTCAGCTCCACATCCCCCAAGGCACCTGCAGTGCAGTGCAGAGAGATCCCAATGCATCGTGGAGTAGTTAAGCAGAGTTTGGCTCAGCTTGTCACAAGGGAAAGGATGTGAATTGAAGGCTACAGAGAAAGCATCCGCACTTCCCTATCCAGGCCCAAGGGCATTCTGGAGATTTTGCAATCCCCAGCTGAGCACAGAGAACCTCATTAAAAAGGGAGCCAGTGCAGGGCAGAGGGGAGACACCCACCACAGTCCAGTCTGTCCTCGCTGGCCTGTGGGGTGCTATTACAGAGGGGTGTTTGTGCGGCGTGATGATGCGACTGTCGGGACAGATGCAAAAGCAGAGCATGCAAAAAACCCCTGGAGGTGACATTAGTCTCTGAACGGGGTAATTTGTTGCTGTTGTGCGAGTTGCCAGCTTGGGTGACTCACACATCTCACTGTGACTTGATCTCGCTGGTAAACATGAGGCTCTTGGCCCACTCCAAAGGAGGGGATTTATCCCCTTCACTAAAAGAAGCCTGAAAATGTGCTGTCCTTTTCCTCCCCTAGGCAGCAGTTGTACATCCACAAACACACACACTCACTCCTTCAGACCTTCTGCTTGCTCAGCTCAACACATGCAGCTTCTTTCAAGTCAGTCTTCACTTGGTTTCATGACTCTGCAGTGACTGGCGTAGCCAAATGAAGGACCAGGCACCAGATTTGAGCTGTTGGGGGCAGCTGAAGAGGAGGACAGCAGTCTGCCAAAGCAGATTTCAGCATGCAGTTGGGTTTATAAATGATGAAGCACCAGAAAGGAGAGAGGATAATACCGAGGCAGCGAGACAGCATCTGCCCTTGTTCTGCGAGAAGGGGTTGTGAGCAGAACTTCCTTGTCAGAAAAACTTTGCTATGGGTGCACAAAGCTGCTGAAAAAATGGGCAGTGCCTCAAATGTGAAAAGGCTGGTTTGAAGCAAAGGCAAACATTAAAGTTTCTGATTTTACTGGGAGCAAACTTGGCCCCTGGTCTTCTGGAGTTGGAAGCTTTTAAATGTTGAGAAAATCCCTATGGTGAGACAGAAAAACAGGGGGAGAAAAATCAGTATAGAATCTACCCAAGGAGCAAAAAGGGAGCACTGAGGGAAAGCTGCACATTGTTGGCTGTTGGGAGATTTTCTGCAGCTGCATAGCCAGGGAAGCTCTGAGGAGGACAAATCTAGCACTTGCTGCCCAGCTACCCAGGGAGTCATTTTATACATACACACACTTATAAATATCCACACACGTGTCATATGTGTACATGTGTGTCTGTGCCCAGAGATGTAGCGAAGCTGGCACAGGGTGCCCTGTGGAAGCTCTGAGTTGCACTGAAGGAGGGGTTACTGTCGCTGCTTGTGATTCAGCAGGTGAGTCACCCTGTTCCTGCGGGGCAGCCCTCCCTCGGTGTCACCTGGCAGTGCAGCAGTTAGAGAGGGGCGAGCGCGTCCTGCACGGCACCGGCACAACGAGCCACGTCTGCCCTTCGGGTCCTCGTGCTGTCGTCAACAGAGCAGAAATCATGTGCAATCCTACTTTATCCAATTATCTTCTCCTGTAATTAGGCTCTCCTGGACTTGTCATGCCTGACTGCCCAGAGGGCAAATGAAGGGATTTTTGAGCTCTGTTCATGTTCGTCCTGAGTGCTGCTGCAAATGGATGTCCAAGCAAGTTGCTCTAATGAGCAGCCTTTGATGATGCTTGGGCTGTGGCATGCCCAGACTAACCCTGACAGGTGCTGCTTCCCTGACCCCTTGTTTTTTTCTCCTGCCCAGCTGTGGTTACTGCTTTTTCTCCTTTCTTATCCTTAAATCCAAGGAGTTTGTACTTTGTGCTGGTCTCTCATCCTCTGCCCTCCTGTGGTGTTTGTACAACAGCTGGCACTTGGTAACTGGCAGAAATGCAAATACAGGAGTTAAAGGTTGTTTCCCTTAGCAGCTAAGTTTAGGCAAACTGATGATTTCAGTAGTCTGTCCTCCCTTGGAGAGAGGAGGGGAGGCCCTGTGAGCTACATAGCAACTCAGAAATGGTTTAGCTTTTCATTTCAAGAGCATACTTCCTTTCATCTTTAAAGCTGAGTTTTTACCAGCTACATCCCTACAGTTACATCCCTACCAGCTACATCAGGACACAGTTCTGATTAGTTTGGTTTCTGCTGCTAATGAATCCCAGGCAGGGCTTCAAATGCAGTTTGGAAAAGTCGAGTACTACAGGGTGGGGAAGAGAGCAACAGTGAATCTCTGCATAGAGAGGGGGTTACTTCTAACTTGGTGGCTTTGCTGAAGTGCTTGTCCTCTGCAATTACATGGTTTCTTGTGTGTCCAACGCTTCTGCCTGCTCCTGGAGCCACAGACCTTGCTAGAAGTGAGATGTGGAAAAAGCATCACAATGTCTAGGAGGGATGGCTGTTTCCTCCATGGCTTCTGTGTGTCGGGTAGCAGCTTGCTTTGCATTTTGCTTGAATTTGGGATGAGTTGGGATGTTTTCTCTCCCTGTGTTTTGCACTGTGAAAGAAAGGGAATCTGGCCTGTGCCCAGTCAGGGTGTTCTCTGCACACTTCAGTAGTTCTCATGTGAAGCGTGACCCCTTCCCCCTCTGCCTTGTCTCTGGTTACCAGGGATCCCCAATCTGGTATTTAGGTTTGCAGTATTTGCTTCTGAATAGCTGAGATGATGCACTGAAGCAGTGTCCCTGCCTCAGGTCTGGCTGTAGGGCTGGCAACGTGCCCTGAGCCAGGGCTGAGCGCCTTCTCTTGGCCGATATTTGCAGATGGCACTGCAGTGATGCCAAATCCAACAGACTCCAGGAGCTTCTGTCCTTGATGTGCTGCAAGCCTTGTCCATGGTGAAATGATCAGGGACCAGCACAAGGTGATAGGCTTGAGGGTTGCACCATGCTCCAGTGAAGTCCCTGCCTCTTCCTTACAGCATGGCACATCCCCAAGAGCCCCTGCCTCTCCTGGGCAGCCTGGCAGGACCAGCCTGTTGCAGGATGGGTCAGCCCTGCGTATGCAGGAAGCACGTTTGTCTTTAATCCTTTAATTGAGAGTTTCAGTAACGACTTTCCTATAAAGATCAAAAGCCAAGGTACAGGTTCCTTCCTGCCTGGTTCCAGACATGGTTGGGAAGATTTCAGCTTCACTGTGCATGGATCAGGAGAGAGGCGGGTCAGGGCTCTGTTGCTTTGCAAGGCAGGGCGATGGCAGGAGAGGGGGTTGCTGCTCTTTCCAATGTCTCTGTGCTGTGACTGTGTGGGGCTGAGAAGCCTTTTCCCTGAGCAGCTGCTGGTGTTTCTGAAGGAGCTCCGTGTGAGTAATGGGTCTGGCTGCACGCACGCCGTGCAGCTGCAGCTCAAAAGAGCAATGTGGATGGCTCTGGGAACTCCGGTGGAATCTGTCCCTGGAGTGACTCTGCTCGGTCTGCAGGCTACAGGCTGTGCTGGCATTTAGCTCTTGTACAAACAGCAACTACGAGGAGGCTCTCATAGCCATCCTTATCCAGGGACTGGGCAGCATGTGAATGAAATACCTTCTGCCCTGCCTCCCTCTGTCTCCAACAGAGTGAACCTGGTTCCTGCTCTGTTTGACAGCCATGTACCTGATAGGGATGCATTGTCTGCTTGCATAAAGCTTGGGTGGATTTTCTTGGTGTCTTGAGTGAGACACTCAGAGTGCTTTAGCTCTCTGAGTAAAGATTGTCACAGTAAGACTGCTCAGGAAGCGGAAAATGTAAAAGCTGGTCACTTTGTTCCTGGCACTAAAACATGTGTTGTTTTTCTGCAGGTACACAAGGCCTTGACAGGTCAAGTACCCTAGTGTGGGCAGTTGGTGGAAGATGTCAGGCAGCCCTATCCTGGGTGTTTTCCTTGCCTTGTGCATCTGATCTTAACAGATAACTCTGTGTGTTCACTGATGAATAGTAAAGTTCCCTGACCAGGCCTGTGGCAACTGGTCACATCTTACTCTATCATTAAACCTTGTCATCATCCCTGCTTTATGGAGAGATGGCTAATGAGCCTGTCAGATGTTTGCTTGTCTTCTGATTTTGATCGATGACAGACAGGACTTGGTGCTCGATGCTTCATTAGCCCCTCTCCTGCCATGGTTAAGGCACTCACTCTTCCCTTCTGTCTGTCCCATTGGACCACGTTTTGTCACACTCCTCTTGGTTGACTGATGTGGCAGAGCTGTTTCAGCAAGGCACTGTTTTATGCACCACTGCTGGAGTTAAGCCCCACAAAGCTGCTTCCAGCATTCCTGGAATTTTAGAAATAAACTGCTGAGCTCAGTATTCAACTAACCAGCACAAGCATGTAGTGCAGTGGCAAGCAGAGCCAGGCAGGTAGGCAGGGCACAGCTCACCACGTGGGTGCCAGCAGGCATAGAAAATGCTCAAGCTGCACAGTCTCAGATTCCTCCTTGCTGCAAGGATGGGTCAGAGCACTTGGGGTGATCCACAGCCCCCAGCTCTGGTGCAGCTCCAGGCTTCTGTGCTATCAGCTCCAGGGAAATAGGGTGGGGAGCAGCAGTCCCATTCCCTGCAGCTTACTGGTGCCCCCTCGACCTTGTCCTGCATGGCAGTGGTAAGAGTGGCTGGGCAAAGGGGGAGGGAGAGCTCCAGGTTTCATACTGAGCAGAGTCACACCGAGGTGTGAATTCCTACAGTCTTAGCAGCAGCTTCCCCTGGGCCCCCCTGCCCAGAGAGGACAAACGTGCCCAGCAGTGTGGGTGCCAGCGCCACTGGGACCTGGTGGGGAGGTGGGGCTGTGGCAGAGCAGCCAGCACAGCTGAAGCCCTTTGCATAAGGGGCTGTTTGTTTTGCTGAATTGTTAAGCCCCATTGACAATAGCAGCCCCCCCCTCACACTGGAACTGTGATGGCCACACACTGATCCTTTCTCTTGTCTTCAGGCCCTGGAATTAGGGTTATTCTTCGCTGAGTCCCTCTGACCGGCTGCTGCTTTTTGTTCTCACTCTGCAGGCGTACGAGTGGGCCTTGGAAGGGATGCGACACCTTGCCTGTGTCAGCATGGAGGACTGCAGCTCCCCCGAGCACTGTGCAGATGTGATCAAGTGCCTGGAGAGTTACAAGGGGCAGCACCCCGACATCAGCACTGCCCGCTTCCAGGAGATGAAGGACTTGGCCTGTGAGCTGAAGAGTGACAAGGGGCTCAAGCAGTGGAAATTTGCATGGTCTAAATGTCAGGAGACCAAGCTGGTTTTTGAAAAGAAACTCGAAGCAGCCTTGAGAACAAGGAAGTCTCTGCTGTCAGACCGCAGCCCAGCTGCCGGGGAGCAGCCCCAGGCTGGCAGTGAGGCTGGCAGTCTGTTCCACTGGAGGCACTCCGAGGGAGCCACCTCCAGGTCCCACTGGGACAGGACTTACAGTGCATCCCACTGTTACAGCAAGTCCAACTGCTCTCTGGAGTGGACTAAGGAGAAAGTTCCCTCGCCCTCCCTGAGCTGCCCCGGTGATGTTGGTGCTGGGGAAGAAGTTGCCAACCAAACTGCCCTCAGCCCTGGCCCTCACTCAAGCAGAGTTTTTTTTGCCAGCGGGGCCTGTAAGTCTCCAAAGCTGCCTGAAGAACAGCCAAACCTCGAGAGCATATTAGAAACCTCAGAGGTGAAGCCACCCTCTGCATCCACGCCAGTCCCTGGGAAGCTGCCTCCCAGGAGGGTGCTCCGGAAGGCCCAAAGCTTTGACCTCCCTTGCGGGGAGAGCCTGTGGTCGAGCTGCCAGAGGAGCGAGCCGGTCAGGTACGGCAACACCGGCGTCTTCATCAAGGGGCTGGAGGTGAGCAGCACCGAGCTGGTGGACAGGACGTTCGCGCTGCGGCAGCCGGCGGCTCACAGCTGGGCTGCAGACTGCCTGCTCGAGGGGCACAGGGGCTGCCTCTCCGCCTCGGAAGCCAAGAGCTGGGGCAGGTAAGTGGCTGGGACGTTTGGTGCTCTCTCAGGGTGGTGAAAAGGCAGCCAGCAGAGATGTGGGGAGCTCTGTAGAGCGGGTTACTTGAGCACTGGGTACGGGGTGGGTGGCTAGAGCTGTGTCTCCATGGTTCCTGCACACGTGTGTGGTGCTGAGCAAGCACACAGGGATGTCCCCACATAGCCTGACACCTTTCTCAGTGGGGAGGCAGAGAAATGGGATCTGTTGCTCTTCCCTCACAGTGTGATTCCTCTCAGAGGGGAAGGAGCAGTTCCCAGGCAGGAGACCCAGGACAGAGAGTCTCTCAACCTTGCTGGCGTTGGAGGATGAGGGGTTACAGAAACACTATTCAGGGACCTAACAAAGCAGGGGTACAGGTGCAGTGGGGGAGCAGAAACATAGTGCATTGTCCCACATACTTTTGGGCAGTGCTGGACTGAGACTGGTAGGGAGGCATTTCCAGCACCTTGTAACAGTAGCTGCACAGGTAAGAGAGTCTTTGTGTTTGTTCTTTGGGGTTGAAATTTCTGGATGTCCAACAGCTGACTTTTGTGCTCTTCTTTTCCTTCTCTGTCCTTGATGGTCTCAAATTTGTTGTCATACTTCAATGTGCTTAAGCTGTGGAGAGGCCAGGGATGTGAGCTGTTCTTGATAGGGGGTCTCCAGGCAGGTCTTTCAGCAGCTGTCATTGGAAAAGATTAAAATAAAACTAAAAATTAATGGCAGAGATGAGTGCTGGATGCAAGGGGACCACTGTTACTGCTCTGAGTGAGATGGCTGGGACAGTGAAATCTTCTGGAAGGGGGCTCCAATATCCTAGGGATATCCAGGGAAGCTTATGACAGGGAATGAGCAGCAGCAGCCTCCCCATCCGTGGGTGCTGAGGCAGTCCTGCTGTGCTGTCCTCTGAACAACCAGAGGAGTTGGCTTGGGGGAAAGCTGAGAGGCAGGGGAGGCAGGGACGCGTTGGAGGAGTTATGTTTGGTGCTACACTGCCTCTCAGTGGCAACCTCGAGTACCTAAGAGGCATCATTAGATGTGTGGAACAGCCCATGCTAGGAACTGCTGTTTGCTGATGAGGTGTTACACGGTTTGTTTCCTGCTCTTGCTTTTACGAGGACAAGGGATGTCTGCCCTGCTGAGCTTGGATCAGGATCACAGACAGCCTGAGGCTCACTCTCCCTGAATGGGAAAGCTGACAGGGTTTCTTAGAATCACAGAATATCCCAAGTTGGAAGGGACCCACAGGGATAATTGAGTCCAACTCCTGACTCTGCACTGAACAACTCCAAGAATCCCCCCATGTGCCTGAGACTGTTGTCCGAATGCTCCTTGAACTCTGTCAGGCTTAGTGCCGTGAATGCTTCCCTGGGGAGCCTGTTCCACTGCCCGACCACCCTCTGGGTGAAGAACCTTTTCCTGATATCCAGCCTAAACCTCTCCTGACACAGCTTCCTGCCGTTCCCTTGGGTCCCGTCAGTGCTCAGGGTCAGAGCTATCACAGATAGTTGTTAATATGAGCTTGGACTGTGCTAAGGGATCATCTCATCTCCGTGCTGGGTCTCTGTAGGGGTAGTACAGTGCTCTGCAGGCACTCTGGCTGCCGTGGCCCTGCAGCAGCCTGGGTCCCTCCAAGGCTGTGTGTGTGCTGTTGCAGCAAACTGCGGCACATCATCGACGAGATGGTGACCACGGAGCGGGAATACGTGAGGTCGCTCCGCTACATCATCGACAGCTACTTCCCAGAGATGGAGCGCCTCGACCTCCCCCAGGACCTGCGCGGGAAGCGCAGCGTCATCTTTGGCAACCTGGAGAAACTCTATGACTTCCACAGCCAATACTTCCTGCGGGAGCTGGAGAGCTGCTGTAACCACCCCCTGCGGGTCAGCCACTGCTTCCTGCGACACGTAAGGCATCATCAGCACCTTCCCCCCGGGGCCAGGTTCCCCCAGGCACGTGCTTGGCTCCTGAGCCCAGCAGTGCCCATATGTTTGGTATGTTAGTGGGCTGTGGCCCTTTTTGGGAGGGGGAGGACTGCCTTGTGCTGGGTTGGTTTGTCCCCTTCCAGCTCAAATGCTAGGTTGGACTGGGATGGCTGTGTGAGGCTGAGCCCAGGTGGCAGCAGATGCTCTTTGACTTTCCTGATGCTCTTTGCTACTAAGAGACACTTCCAGGGAAGCAAAATGTCTGCTCCGTGAAGCCCACCTGCTTCTGCAGGGGCATCCCTTACCTGTCTTCTGTCTGTGGTGTAAGGGGGGAATGACTTCAGTGACCAGAGAGGTACAGACCTGCTGCGCTGGGTGAAAAGGGCTGCTGGACAGAAGCATAGGGCACAGGTCTTAAGGTCAGCTGCCCCATGCATGTTTGCTGCTACCGGGGATGAATGATACCAGCTTACTATTGGGTATGGAAGGGGCAAGGGATGACAGGAGAGTGGATTAAAGAGTCCTGGCTACTGTAGGAGTAGGAAGACAAGTACATTCCCTGGCTCTTAATGAGCTTGGAGCAAAGTCATTCCCAATATCATAGGAGGCTCTGGTGCAGCCTGGGAGAGGCAGAAGTAGTCCTAAAATAACCTGCCAGGGGCATGGCTGTCACTGTGTCCTGGGTGTGTGGGTCTCACCTGGGGATGGATCTCTTCTGCAGAAGGACCAGTTTGGAATGTATGCATTGTACAGTAAGAACAAGCCGAAGTCAGACTCGCTGCTGGCCAGCCATGGGAATACCTTCTTCAAGGTAAGTTCCTCTGCCTGCATCATTATTGCTCAGGGTGGTTGGGTCCTAAACCAATCTGTTTAAACAAACTCAGCTTTCCTTCCTGAGGTAGGCTCAGTGCTCCCTCTGCTTCCCTGGCATGTCTCTGCACAGGAGTATGGGGGGAACAGGGCAGAAGGGCAGTGAGGGCTTTGAAAAGGAGCAAACAGCAGTGTTGGTCCTGTGGCCTTGCATTTCCCCGAGAGCACTCGTTTTCTCTGAGTACCCTAGTCAGGAGAGCTGTGGGTGTCAGTGCCTGCCTGGAGGCACAGGGAAGCTGCTGCCTTCACTCTGCTGCATTTCTCAGTTGAAGCAGGTGCAGCTGGGGGATAAGATGGACCTGGCCTCCTACCTGCTGAAACCCATCCAGCGGATGAGCAAGTACGCCCTGCTCCTGAAGGACCTGATCAAGGAGTGCAGCGAGGCTCAGGAGCAGGAGCTGGGCTATCTCCGTGCGGCTGAGGAGATGGTGAAGTTTCAGCTCCGGCATGGAAATGACCTGCTGGCCATGGATGCCATCCGTGACTGTGACGTACGTTCCGGTGTCCTCCCCTGCCCAGGGGGGCAGAGCCACACTTCTTCCCCTTCTCTAGGCTTGGGGTCTTTGGATTGTATGGTGAGCCTCCCCTCAGATTCCCACAGTGCTCAGGGTGCTGTGTGCCAGTACAGCCTAGCAGGACACTGAGGCGTGGGGCAAGGGAACAGTGGGGCTTGGAGGTCTCCTTGATCTGTCAGGACATACAGCTGGGGTGCTGTTACCTGAGTGGGGTGAGCTGCTTGTCATAAACACACTGCCACTCCCATCACTGTGCCAGGCTGCCACAGTGATGGGAGGCAGCCTGGCAGCCCTTGCACATGCTGTCCTGCAGGCTGCTTTGGGCCTTTCATCTCTTCTGAGCTGGTGAAAAGAGGGTCAGGCAGTTTGAAAGAAGGAATTTAAGCTGATGCTGATGCCAGGGGTAGGGCAAAATTGTCTAGGTGGGACTTGAAGGAGAGTCATGCAAAGTGCAGAAACCCCAGTCTGGGGCAGGAGGAACTGAGGAACTGGCCTTCTGACCCAGATGTGCTCCTGGCTGTTGATGGGATTCATTTCCTCCCCAAGGGAAAGCTCTGGCTGCTGCCTGCAGTTGCCACCCCTGAGGTTTGTCACAGATCTGCACAGGGTGACAGAAGAGGGTCATCTGTGAGTTATGCCTGGGAGAAAGGTGCAGCTCTCCCCTGAGGTTGGAGCCAGTTGTTTCAGCCTGATGTGATTCTAGCAGCCCTACCTCTTCAAGAGTCCTAAGATACCAGGTAGCTGCCACTTCTTCACCACCTGGGCCACAGCCATATGGGACCCTGTTCTCCAAGTCAAGGTGTAGGGCTGCCTGGATCATCCTGCTGGAGTCTCACTAGGATGTCCTCTGTGTCCAGGTAAACCTGAAGGAGCAGGGGCAGCTGGTGCGTCAGGACGAGTTCACCATCTGGCTGGGCCGTAGGAAGTGCCAGCGACACGTCTTCCTCTTTGAGGATCTGATCCTCTTCAGCAAGCCCAAGAAGATCCAGGGTGGCTTTGATGTGTATATCTACAAGTGCTCCTTCAAGGTAAGGGCAGCTCTGCCACACCCTCTCGTGTGTGTGTGTGGCAGGGAAGTGGTGCTAACTCTGGATGAAGCACTGGGAATTGCCTGAGCTATGTGTGCTCAGCTGTGTCCAGGTCATATCTGCTCCTGACAGGACCTCAGGCTCTTTCCCATTGGTGTGCCAAGCTGGAGGTAGCTCTGGCAGAGGGTTCAGGCAGAGTTTACCCTTTCTGTTCCTGGTGCAGCGTGGTTGATGCTTTGCTTTTCCTCTTCCTCACAGACTGCAGACATTGGTCTGACGGAGAACTCTGGAGACAGCGGCCTGCGCTTTGAGATCTGGTTCCGGAGGCGGAAATCCAGCGACACCTACATCCTCCAGGCCAGCTCAGCTGAGACTAAGCAGGCCTGGACCAGTGACATTGCCAAGATCCTGTGGCAGCAGGCAGCCCGCAATAAAGGTGTGATTCCTCCCTGGGGCGTCTGTGCCGCAAAAGGTGCGGGAGCCCTGTTCAGCTCGTGCTGTCCTGAGTAGGTTTGGAGCCTGTTCCCAGGCAGCTCTGTGCAGCAAGCAGCTGTGTGCTGGCATGCAGCCTCAGGAGCATGTGCTGGGCTTGGCTGGGCATGTCCCTTCCCTGCCCCTCATCCCCAGGGAGCTCAACTAGTCCAAACTCTGTGTGACTGTAGACACACACCTGGACTCCATGAGGGAGCACAGGGTTCTCTGCCCAGTGAGCAGGGGCTGTGCCCCTGAAAGACTCGCTGCTCTCCCTGTGATCTAGGCCACTACTGGAGTGGGAGCTGCCTGAATCAGGCTGGCTGAGTCCCTCCTCTCCCCCCCAGGCTTCCCGCTTGGCAGGACTCTACTAGGTGGCATGGCACTGAGCTACTTCGCCAGAGCAGGGCATGATTGCTTGTTCCTGGAGACTGCAGGGCTGGGGAGCAAGGGGAGAACAGATCCAATCTCAGCAGTTCAGGAGCAGCCAAGCTCAGGATTGCTCTATCATGGAGCTGTGTAATGCCTGTGGGGAGGGTCGGGTCAACCTCATAATGTGGCTGTGGGTCTCTTCCTCTCCAGAAATCCGTATGCAGGAGATGGTCTCCATGGGTGTGGGTAACAAACCATTCCTGGACATCAAACCCAGTGAAGCAGCTATCAATGACCGTGCTATCGATTACATCATGAAAGGCAGAGGTAGGTGCCAGCTGTGCCTTCCACCTTGCTCTGGGTGAGCCAGGCAGGACTGGTTCTCAGGGCTTTTTTTTAATATTTTCTGGCAGGTGCCAGGACCAGAGCATCGATTGCAGTGTCTCAGTTTGACCATTCCAACCCATTCAAGAGGACGCAAGCACAGCTCTCCGCTGGCAACACCCACACTGCATACAACCCTTCCTCCTCCTCTTCCCTGCTGGGCCCCCTCAACCTCCACATGTATGTGAACCAGGCTCTGCTGCCAGAAGTCCTGCCCCCCAGATGCCCCTTTGACATCAGCACCTGCATTGAGGAGGATGAGCTGGAGCACGAGACGAGCAGCCAACCGTCCCTGAGTACGTGCGGTCCCGCTGCTCTGCGGCACCCGGGAGGGGTGGGCTCGTCCCCTCACCTTGCTCTGCACTGTGCAGTCAGACCAGGCTTTTGGGGTCACAGCAGTGCCCCAGACAGGGGCACAAGGGCCCTGCCCTTCCATGCCAGCTCTGTTTCAGCTTCCACAGGGAGAGTTAGCTCAGACACAGGGATTATAAGGTGCCGGCTGAGCTGCAGCTGTACCCGTGGCAGCCTTGGTGCTGAGTACTGGTGCTGCTGTGGCCTTGGGGACTCATGTCTCTACCCCTCTGGTATGAAGCACTCTGTCCCTTGCCCTCATCAGCCTGGTCCAGTGACCCCTTGGCTTCCCTTGTGTGAACTTCCCTGGCCAACCCATACCAATCTCCAGCATCATTATGACTCAATTTCCTTGTGTTGTTTTGTTACCTGGGGCTTTAAAGAGGCCAAGACAGGAGTGTGGCTGATCTGTGGGCTTTGTGTGGCCAGTGCCTCTGCAAACAGGTCATATGCAGGCCAAATTCATGGTTATCAGAGTGACCTTCCTCTCTTTCCCCAGCAACAGAGAGCTCAGAGTCATCGCACTGCATGTCAGCCACTGGCTCCAGCGGCTCCGACAGCGGCTGTGTCTCCAACGTCCCACAAGAAAGCTTCTGTGAAGACATGGGCTCACCCCCCTACGTGCCCATAGGCCCACAGCACAGCTCTACAGTGGAGGGAAGACCCAGGTTCACAAACAGCCAGTACATTTCTGCAGTAAGTGCAAGCAGCCAAAACACTGTCTTCAGTTTGCCTGTTCCTGCAACTGCCTCCCCGGTTCCAGCCACTGCCTCTCACGGGGGCACCGAAGATGCTGCTTTTGGGCTCGGGGTCGCTGTGGGGAAGTGACATTGCCCCTTGCAGAGACTTGGCTCCTCTGGGGCAGGCAAGAGCCCCTCTGGTGCGGGAGCCACCCCTGTGGTGGCCAAGATCCCCGAGGAGATGAGCTGGAAAGGACCTGCAGTGCTGGAGGCTGCACAAGGAGGGGATGCTGCACAAACAGGAACTATAACGCTGTCATGGGCTGGGGTACATATGTTACCTCCTGGGATGGCTGGAGCTCTGCTGCAGATGCTGCCAAGCTCCTTTCCTGGGAGGTTTGGGCCTTTTTGGGGGAGCAATGAGATGGAGGAGCAGGAGCCTGTTGCTCTGAGATGTCAGTGTGTCTCCTCTTACGTTCCTGAGAGTTCTCAGCTGCTTGCCTTCCCACTAGATAGTATCCTGATGCTGTTGTCCTCTAACCCTGTACTAATGCTGGCTTCTCTCCTCTGCAGAAAGCAGGCCAGGTCACCAAAAGTCACTCGAGAATAGTGTGAGCCCCTCGGCCCCGCCTCAGGAAGTGGAGTTGTTGTAAGTAGCCCCTGAAGGGGATTTTCCAACAGCTCTGAGGGCTGGTCAGGTTTGTCAGTAGCTCTGAGTCAGGGGAACCTCACCCTCTGCTTCTTGGTGAGTTTTCCCCATGCATTCCTGACTGGTCTCTGAGGCTCTGATCCATGAGAAGGCCAGCTCCTGTGGAGCTGACACTTGGAACAGCCAGTCTGATCCATCTGCCTTGCAGAAACAGAACAACCAAAATCTCTTTCAGGTAGTAGAGGCTTGAGCACCACCTAGTCACCAGTATTCAGATGAGCTGCTTTCCTCTGAATGCTGCCCTCCTGTCTAACCACTAATCTGTTTCTGGTGGCTGTTTGCCAAAATCCTACTCCTTGTCCCTCTGAACTGCCCTGGGGAGTCCACAGTATTCTCCCCAAGCTGGATTTATCCCACAGTTCCCTTTGAACCTCCAAAGGAAATTGCAGGTCAGGCAGAGGAACCTGCTAGGCTATGGTCAGGATGTCCTGAGGGAGCTGCCAGATGTTGCTCCTGTACTTAGTGATTTTGGGAGCATGCCTTGTCTGTGAGGAAATCACTGTTGATCTGAGGAAGGGTGAACCCTGACAGGACTTGAAGTCAAGCAGGGCTTCTGTCATGTGGGTGGCAGCCCTTGGAATGTCACATCAGGGGCCACACAAACCAGCCTGCTCCTGGCTCAGCTCTCCTCTCTGTCCTTAGGGCTGAGCCTCCCTTTCCACAGGGAGCAGAGGGGTACGAGCGCCGGGGGCAGGATTAGGGCTTGAGCGATGGAGGCACGGGGTGGCAGATGGCTCGTAGGTTTGGCACCGTGGAGGTTACACACACACAGGCCCGTGGCCTGCAGGTGTTCATAATCAGCTGAACAGAACTAGCCAAGGTGCGAATTTAACATCCAGAGCCCCTTCTGGGGAGTCACAGACAAGACTTTTGGAGTGGCCACAGAAGCCACAGGTTTGCTGGCCCGTGTAGGCTTTGGGCGAGTCCCGAGGCACAGAGACAGGTCTCCATGTGGGGGAAGAGCCATGTTTCTCCTGCAAGGCTCTTCCAGTAAAACATTCTTTCCCCACCAAAACTGAGCTTGGACAAATGGTGGTTTTCAAGCGTTTTGCAAAGTCACTGCTGGCCAGGACAGAGGGACCTGTGGGCTCCTGCCACGTCACGGGAGTGCAGCCGGTCTAACCCATTGCACGGTGCTGTGTTCCAGGTTTGATTGCCATTTCAAACTCCCTGAAGACCCCAGGCCTCTGACCAGCAGAAGGAGACAGTCTTCACCCGTGAAGATTTTTTTTGGCCCGTACTCAGGCTCTTTCAAACAGCCCAAAACCTGACCTCTGCCTGGGGGGAAGTCCCAAGAAGGTTTCTGTCAACTACACTTAATAGCTTTGGTGTTGGATGGGACCTTGGGCATTCAAAACTTGTTGCCCCTATATTTATGAGTAATAAGTAACATAACAGTTTGGATAAAAAAAATTGTATTATTTTTAAAGCTAAGAGCTGTACAGATTTTTGTTACAAGTGACTATGTTACTATTTGTTGTGTAAGCTGCACATTTTATAAAGTTTTTGGAAGGGCATGAAATGAAACTGAGGTATTTAAGAAAAGTAGTGTAACTTTCTATTTCAGGGTTATATTGACCTGGACTCAAGATGTAACGTCCTTCCTTATGTTCTAAATATGTCTATTATAGCAATAATTTATTTTCTTGGCTTAACACTTCTGTTTTAATAAAAGCAGTTTCATTGTTGTAGTGAATTGTTTCTTCAGATGGTTCTTCCAGTGCCTCAGTGCTGAGCTAATCTCTGTCATAACCATCTCGCAGCTCTGCCAGTCTCCCTGTGCCATCTCTGCACTAACCAACTGCCAGCTGAACCTCGAAATCCTCAGCACATCTGCCAGAAAACGGGAAGATTTCCCAGGTAGAGACTCCCCTGATGCCAGTGGGAGGCCAAGGCAGGCTTAGGAGTTTGGAGCAGCCAGCAGGGGAAGAGGTTCTGGTAGAGGTCTGGAGGCACAGGCCACCAAAGTTCCTGGCTCTGATTTTTAAGCCACTTAGCCCTTGTAGCTGCTGTCCCAGTGCAAGTCTCTCTCTCCCTGCTGGGCCAGGTCCCAGAGGCTCCGTTCAGGCTCTGTTGTGCCTTGTCCTGGCTGAGCCCCTGGTTTTGGGGTGACTGGCTGCTTGCTTCACTTCTGACTCAGCCCCTCTCCTGGTACTTCAGTCGCACGGTCGTGGCTTGTTTGAGGAGCTTTGGATGGTGCTGGCATCCGAGACCAACAGGTTTTGAGTGGAAAGTGTTGATTATAATGCTGAACCTTAAGTGCATGTTGTTTGAAGTAATGCAGCATAACTGGAGGATAAATGTGCCCTGTGTTCCAGGGTGGCTTAGTCACGAGTAACACCCAACTCCCTGCGAGGCCGGGACACCCTCCCTGTTCTTGGAGGAAATGAAAATGAGCATTTTTGGAAACAGCAGTTATTTGCTGCCAAGCTCCTGTTTACTCCTGGTTTTTGCAGGGCTATAAATCAGGCTCCCCCAGGTGTGAGAGGAGTGTCACCTTTGGCCTCAGGAGGAAGATGGAGCAGTACTTTATTCAATAAACTGCAGTTTTCCCCCCTTGGCAGTGCAGCGCTGCAGTCTGGGGTGTCACACCCCACAGCCGCCCTGGAGACAGTGTGCCTTCAGGTTTGGAAATTCCTGTACTGTATATAAAACACTTGTTTATTTTTAATAAGCTGGATGTTTTTTTAAAACCTTGTTCTTTTTTCAAACAGCGAAGAGAACACAGTTGGACACCTTTGCACAAAATTGGGTGTGAAACAGTTACACAGGGAATATTTTACAAATTACTGTTTTGAGATAATTGCTGGGTTAATGCAAGGTTTTTGGAGCTGTCAAGGCAGCAATAGCTGATGTTGTGAGAGGGAGAGAATTTACTGATGCAACAAGAGGGACATGAAATTTCCTGAATTTCTCAGTTTCAAAGGTTTCTGCATTGCTGGAAAGTTGTTTACCTGATACTGTTTTTTCAGGGTTGGATTGATTTAATAAAGGTTATTTTCTTTGTATGGCTCTTGTTTGCATTGTGTCATGGTTTCAGCAGCAGAGTACTGGGGGCAGAGTGAAGCAATGTTTCTCTGACCCAACCCAACAGGTTGTTGGGGTGAGGCTGGTGCTGCCTCTCATTTTAATACTGAAAAGTACATAAATTTTTTTTTTGTCCCCTTTTCGTATTTGGCACCCAATTAAATGAAAAAAGTTTTGTTTTATTGACATAAATAGAACTTTTCCCCTTGCCTTCCTTGACTTCCACAGAGTCTGCACCGTGTGTCAGGAATCCCAGATTAGATGATGCATTTTTGAAAAGGTGCAACCACAATAAATGAGCTTCTAATCCAGAGGTGTTCAGCACCACCCCTTAAAATCTTTCTCAAAATGGATATTTTTCAATACTTTTTCCAGCTATTGCCCTTCTACAAGTTAAGTGACAGTCTCTGTCCCTTCTCCCCCCCCCCATGATTAACCATGGCTATTGATAAAATCTGACAGTGAAAAGCTGGGATCCCACACTGCTCTGTGACACTCACGACCCCTCCTGTGGACAGTCCATCCTGGCATTTTCCCTAAATAAGCTTGAGGGGCTCAACGAACTGCTGGGAAATCCCCCCTTCCCAGGAACACAACTCTCTGCTAGTAAGTTCTGGCATTGTGCTTGGCCCTGCCCAGTTTATACCCCAGTTCCCAGGCTGGCCATTCACATGTTAGAGCCATAAAATCCTGGAATGGTTTGGATTGGGAGGGACCTTAAAGACCATCTCATTCCAACCCCCTGCTGTGGGCAGGGACACCTTCCACTAGACCAGGTTGCTCCAAAGCCCCATCCAAGACTTCCAGGGATGGGGAATGCAAGAAGGCTGGTTGGGTGGAATGTGGGGTATTCCCAGGACAGGGGAGGTTTGAGCCCTCTGGATTTCTGGTGATTGATGGATTCCACAGATCTGACAGATGGATGTGCCTGTGGAGGGAGAGGACCCTCCCTAAGCATCCCCCGTGTTCCTCCACACCACTGCAGCTTTGGGAAACCTCGTTCAGCCTCGGAGCAGAGATACCAGCAGAGGGGGCAGGTGGGGTGGTTTTCAGCTGGACTAATCTGACTTTGCTGGTCCTGCTGCAAAAAAAACCCCACAAAAATCTGAAGAGAAGGGCAATTTTCCTTTTTGCTAAAGATGTGCAGACAGTGGACCAAACCATTTTTGAGACAATTCCACTAAAAAAAAAAAAAGAAAAAAAAGGCTTAGAAACCAGAAGAAACCTCAGAGTTTGGATAAAGGAAATTCAACTATAAATGGATGAAAATACACATTTCAAGCATCCAGCCTGTATGGACTCGCCCTTCACTGGCACAAGGCAAAACTATGCTGTAATTACAATAAAAAACACTTGTAGTAGCTAAATAGCAGATTAAATCTTTGTTTCAGATGTCCGTTTAATATTTCCATTTATGCAGACACAGAATAGGAGAAGAGGAAGAACTGTCACTTCCCCATTTCACATGACAGTAAATTCAGTGGTGTCCCACTAGGAGGAATTTCTTTGCAGGCAAACTGAACCTTCTCAGGGAGCAACAGAAAGGGCAATCCCACCTTTTCCAGATAAAATATTCATATTCAATAAGATCAGGCAGCATAAAATTGTCCTCAAGCACAGCAGCTGCTCTTTTTAACTAGTTAATTAAAACCAAAACCCAAGTGGTGACCACTGAATGAGCTCTTACAGAAAGGTCAGGCGTGAAATTTGGAACATTTTCTGTGTTCACTGACCAGGGCAGATGAGTTGAATGTGACAATTATTTGTTTGGATACCTGTGACAAACCTTGCCAGAGTTATATACACAAACTCTTTTACATCCTTCTAGAGACAATATTATCTAAGAATGAAAAAAAAAAAAGTCTAGGGAAGCCACATAGAAAGTCCCACTTTGCCTGCCAAGAAAGGCTGTGGCTGCAAAATTAATGCTAATACAATAAATGCAATTCAGCAGAGCTGAGAAAATCTAACTTTTGAGCTCTGTGTGTAGAAATGAAGGTACCTAAACACAAAATCATCTTGGTCAATAAATAGTCTGTAATTATCAGAGTCATCCTGAACAGGAGCTTCTTTCCACAGCAGAGATTCAGGAAATGGAGCGACTTTACTTTCAAGACATAAGAAATACCAGTCACTGACATAAAAATGAGTTACCTCTTCTGCAGATCCCGTGACACTCCCTGGTTCCTTCACACCAAAGAGGAAAACGTGTCAAGAGGCAAGAACAGACCTGTAAATTCTGAAACAACGTGACATTTTATTTTAGAACCCCATTGGGATTTGCATTTTATTTTCCATTCCGTGGTGAAAAATAAAAGCATGGGGCAAATGACCTGGAGCATTACCTTCCATTCCCATGTGCCTGTGTGACCATGGGTCGTGGCAATCAGCAAGTTGTGAGGGTTTTAATGGTGTAATCCCTTGGAACTACCCAGTTCACAGCTATCCTGGGGTTGTTACACAGAGCAGCGAACAGAAACATGGCCAGTGTTCTCTTAAAATGTTCAAACAATGGCAGTAAAATGGAAATAAGCACCACATAAATTCCCCCACGCCCCTGGACACGCCATTCCACAGTTAGTTAGGATTTTGAGGTGCAGGTATTTATTGCTATGTCAGTCACAATCCTCTTGGCAAGACAAAATAATTGGATAATTCGGATATTTGGGGAAATTTCTTCACCAAAAGGGTGGTCAGGCATTGGAACAGGTTGCCCAGGACAGTGGTGGAGTCAGCATCCCTGGAGGGATTTAAAAGCCATTTGATGTGGCATCTGGGGATGGTTTAGTGGTGGGCTTGGCAGTGCTGGGGGAATTGTGGGACTCAGTGATTTTAGAGGGCTTTTCCCACCTGAATAATTCTGTGGTGGACGTGGTTTGATCTGCTGTCCACTAAAAACAGACAGAAAAGTTCAGTTCAGGCCTGAAAAAAGCCTGCCTGCAGCACAGCAACCACAGCCAAGGAGCCAGAGGTTGTACTGACAGTGGACAACACAATTCCTGCAGCAGAAAAAAAACGTGGGGAGGATGACACCTGATGCTTGGAATGTTTTTAGGCTATTTCTCATGCAAGTGGCCACAAACAGGGAGTCAAAAGCATGTCTGGAAAAGGATGGAGGGGGGGAAACCCCACTCTAAATGCATGTAAGAATTGAACTTACTTGCTTTTAGAGACAGTTTGTAGCTCTAGACAGCACTGATGATCAAAACTCATGGTGCAGAACCACAGTTAAGTTGCCCTCACAGTATGCTTAGCTGAGAGCTTTTCATACATATACTCATGATCAACTTGTTGCTGATACTGCCCAACAGTTTCAAAGCAAAATAAATATTTAAATGTAACACAGGAAAAAAAAAAAAACAATGAAATAACCTTTCAAGCAAGAAAGATGAAAAATTTTAAGAGGAAAACAACCAGACACTAAAATCTTGATATTTCTGAATTTTGGGGCACAGTGGAAGAGGGACAGCACCACCAAAACCCCCTCTCCCTACCATTGCTCTGAGGAAACTAATCCCATCCTATCAGGCTGAACCCTCCCAAAGGCCTGGAGGAAGGGGCAGGGCTGCAATTTATCTTAAAAGCCAATAATTAACACAATGCTAACATGACAGATCTCTTTAATCAGATGCTGTTTGTGTCATTTGTCTTAGAACGAGAAACAGGTGAGAAGCAAGATCCAAGGAATAAAAAAAAACAAGGAAACCTGGAATATGACAGCTCATAAATTAACTAATCAGTTTTATCAGGCAGGATTTTTGGTTTTAAAAAAAAAAACAAATTTAAAGGGCTTTAGATAAAGATATAGGAGTGGTCATAAATATTTTAATATTTTTAATATTTTATTAAATATAAATTATATATAAAATATATAATATATATTTATATAATTATATAAATATAATGTATTTAATAATTGTGTATAAAATAAATTATGATTTATAAAATATTTTAAATCAATATTTTATAAATATTAATATTTTATTAATTCTTAAATATTTTAAATCTCTTTCAAAATAATATTTTTAAGCTCTCTCTGGGGACAAGATCAGCATTAAAAAAAAAAAAAAGGAATGGCAATATGAATGCAGGCTAACTCCACACCTTAATATCTGTATTTTATGTATATCAATAATTTCTACATTAAAAGTTAATATATAAATAAATCTGTACAATAATAACTGCATTCCAAAGCTATGCCACAGCTCACTGATGAGTTTGTATGTCTTTAACATTCCCTTAGGGTCACCCATTATCATTCTGTGTGTTATTCCTGGAAGTCTCAGCTGACATGGAGCTGATTTATTTAATTTCTTTGTTAATAAGCATCCCAGACGGTGGTTTGGAGGCTGGGTTTTGTGTCAGGTTTATAATTTTGGAGCTGTCAGTCTCTCTGACTTTCTCTCTGGGTTGACTTCTCTGCAATTAAAAACTTACAGGGGTGTCAGAGCCCTGGTGGATGCTTTTAGATGACAGATCTTACAGGGAGGGTGGAAGAAGAGCAGCCAAATGGTGTTTTGGGATAAGGTAGAAAAATAATTATTTGTTTTCTGAAAAATGAAACATTAAATAAGGATATTTTCATTTTCAATAAATAAACACTGTATAAACAAATGCCTGGTCACTGTTGTCCTCTCCAGCCTGTGCAGTGAGAACCAGTTGGCAGTTCCAGGCTTTGCTATCGGACAGATCCCGTTTTTAGACGGTGCCTGTGGAGTTTTTCAATCCATATTCAGCTCTCTTTGACATCCCCCGTGTCCCAGCCGTGCTGGCCCAGCCGCTGCCACACAGAGGAGCTGGTCAGCTGTCAGGCAGCCCCTCCTCATTCCCGGGAAAACAAAGGGAGAGCAAACACTCCCCTGCCTGCCTCCACCACCATCTTCATCCTCACCGAGTCCCATGTCCAGCCCTGGAAGGATCCGGGGCCGGATTCTCCACAGCAAGATTTCCAGCAGCACTTCCCACCCTTTGGATGGTCCGC